TCGGATTAATGGTACTTTAAATCAGCTGTTATTCCTCAAATAAATATTCAGAAAATTATGTTTTATTTTTGGAAGATTTTTTTAATAAAGCGAATTTTATCGCGATGAAAGACGGCTATAAAAAAAGCGCCAATCATCTGTTTTAGAAAAATAAAAAAACTCCTTCCAGTCAGTTTAAATGAGTTTTGGTTGGTTGGTTGTTTTGTTTTATGGCATATCAAAACCTCAATGGGTCATTTAATGCCAACAAAATTTTTGAAATAGATTAAAAAAAAAAGATGTGTATGTATACATATATATTTGAACCATTTTTCAATTACTCATATTTTTATTTATCCAACTTCTTAAGAATATATAGCTCTTTGTATTACTGGTATTTTTTTTTAAGTATTGCTGATAATAATTTTTCCTTCAAAAATTATTGCTAGTAATAATATTTTTTTTTATTACAAAGTATTTCTGGTATTAAAACCTATTTTTACACAAGTTTGGGTGTTAACTATTTGCCCATAGCTTGGACCCAAACAGGTGCTACCACCCCGGGTCAGGGTGGACTTGGGAACACCAGCAATTAAGAGTGGTTCCACGCTCCTCAAAAGCTCCTGATCAGAGGCTTTGCTGTTGGACGTAGTTTATCGTCTTACCCAGGACGCGGATGTAGTTTAGTTTGGATTTTACCAAGGAGTTCAAGATAAATAGCAGAGCATATGTGGCAGTAATATTCTAAGCATGAACGAATGGTAGACTTATAGATATAAAAGATAAATTCTGGTGAGAAACATTGTCTCGCACGACACAGTGAACCAACTTTTTTAGATTTGAGGCTACAGAGATGTGGTTCTACAGAAGGATGCTGAGAATACCATGGACTGAACATATGAGTAACAAGGAAGTTTTAAGTAAAACGGAAACAAAAAAAAGACACTCAAAAAAAGACAGTAGAAATTTTTAGGACGCATAATAAGAAAAGAGGACTTGGAGAACTTGACACTCACAAGGCATATTGAAAACAACAGGAACAGAGGACAGCAGTGATTAACCTACTTAAAGAGTTGGTGTAAATGGTTGACAGGTGAGTGAGAGGGTCGGGCAGTAAAAAAGACGAACCTTATTAAGATCCACAGAGAATAGGAAGGTGTGGAGAGCTGTGATCACCCACGTCCTGAAGGGACACGGCACATAATAAGTAGGTGAGCTCATAGCAAATCACAAATAACAAAGGAGCATGAGAAGAGTCAAAAAAGAGGAAGGTTGATTTTTCATTTTTTTTAGAAAATGAACTTTGCAATTCGTGTGAAACGTGGCGTTTGATGCGATAAGTGACCTTTGTACTGACACCAAAAATAAAATAAAATCAAAGTACTGTCACCAAAACTCAAAATTAGATTCATAGCTTTCATCATTTTTGGAGATTTTGTTTGAAAGATCGTCTGAAAAAAAAAAAAGTACAGAAATACCAAATTTTCGCAGCCTTTTGCTAACAAACTGGCTTCAAAAAATTTACTATTTCAGGAATAAATCCAAATAAAATTGATATTTTTGCGATTAATACATTGAATAGAAAATATATTCAAACCAGAATTCTAATATACCTTTTTTTTTTACTGTATTCGATAAATGAAAAAGTCTAATCAATGAATAAAATTTTACGACAATTATTAGGCCATAATTAAGAAAAGAAAAAAAATGATAAAACACCCTAATACTGCTGGGCATAAATTATAAGACAAAACGTTTAAAGTTTACATTGTTTATTGAAAATCGTACTAAAACTACTGGACTGTATAACCTATTAGATCATAATCTAGCTAAATTGTTCAGTATAATTTCCCTTTGAAGTAAATGAAGGTCTTATTTAATGCCACAATGATCTAGTAATAAAGTGCTTGTGCCATGCATCTTCAGTATTTAATTTAACTAATCTTTCCACACCTTGCGAATGCGCAGGTAAATTCGACAACTCTAACGTCGCTCCATTCATTAGAACCTTTTTCCAGCACAGGTTCACAAACTCCATTTTGGTACATAATAGTCAAATTTAACCAGTGTGTCATGACAGAATTGATGAATGTATTTTTTTTCATCTCTTCTCTGGTGACTCGCTACTTCTGAAATCAAAGAGTTTTATTGGAAAATTTATCCATACTTGGTTATAGTTTCGTGATGTCATTTGTCTGAAATTCTAAGATTAATGCTTTTAAATTGACATAACTAATTAAATAGGAATAAATGTTTTCTTGTGCAATAGACAATTTTTCCTTCACCTCTAATTCTTCTGACTTGAACATTTAAAAGAAGAATTGTGTCGTATCTCCAATTTGTAATTTGAATATTGGGCTGTGCTTTTGCATGGATTCTGTCTTCTTGCAATTTGATGTTTAGTCCTTTCTTCTCACTTTCCTTCACCACATTCTGTACGAGTTTTTGTAGTTTCAACATTGTGTCATCTACAAATCTTTTGTTGTTAAAGTTGTGTTTGCCAATAATGAACCCTGGTAGGACTTCTAATTCTCACAGAATCGCTTCACTATATAGATTGAATAAGTCCGGTGAGAAGACACATCCTTGTCTTTTATCCACTGGGCTATGGAACTGAGATATCCAGAAAAGGCATGGCACGTGGAACAAGAACAATCTAGCCCAGTGGTCGAAATAAAGGGATCGATTCAGGTTCACAAACTCCATTTTGGAAGATAATGCTCAAATTTAACCTGTGTGTCATGACAGAATTGATGAATGTTTTTTTTTTCCATCTCTGGTGAATCGCTACTTCTGAATTCAAAAAGAGTTTTATTAGAAAATTTATTCACACTTGATTATATTTTCGTGATGTCATTTGTCTGAAATTTTAAAATTAATGCTTTTAAATTGACATATTTTATGAAGTAGGAATAAATGTTTCTTATGTAATAGATAATTTTTATAGTCTATTCCCTCACTTCGAATTCATGTATATAACACCATAACACTGCTGGGTACATATTATAGGATAAAATGCTTTAAATTTGCATCTTTTTATTGAAAATCATACTAAAACTACTGTACTGTATAACAGTACATCATACTATAGCTAAATTGTTCAGTATAATTTCCCTTTGAAGTAAATGAGGGTCTTATTTGATGGCACAATGATTTAGTAATAATATTTTTGTACCATGCATCTTGTCCATATATAATTTGTGAAGCTTCGGTAAATTACAAATTTTACAAGGCTGTGTTATAAGGCTTTCACTGATCACCGGAACGAAATTCCAACGCTACCATTTTGAACCTAAACTCGTCTCCTCAAAAAACTGTAACGATTTGGAAAAATATTTTCTATCCTTATCATGTGAAATCTCAACTTTCAAATTGAGTGCAATGACAGGCTCCAAAAATCGACCTTTCCTATTGTACATTTGTGCCTGATTCAATGAAGGAGACTCGTAACAGAAATCCTCTTCATGTAGTAATTTTCGAAGTGTAGCTTAGATGTGTCACAAGGCCATATATATAGAGCATCCTGTGAGGATTGAACTCACAAACTTCATTTTATGAGAGGTTAATCTAATTAGATCAATGCAACGCTTCAGAATTGATGAATGTCACATTTTTAATGTCTTCTTTGGTCGTTCGCTATTTCTAAAACAAAATATTTTTGTGCAATATTTCTGTATTTCAGTTGACTGCTGATTTATTCTCCAGATCATGTTGAAGATATATTGCTGATGGAAATTTATTATCCGTCCTAACTGAAATCAACTAACTGTATATATTTCAATTAAAATTTTTATAAGACTGTGCAATTTATCATAGAGTTCTAGTAGATAATTACCTCTGGTTCATGATCGTTGATCTGGATCCTGATGTCTTGAGAAATTCCTATTGCATATTCTAAGAGCAGCCTTTGGTTACTACTTAATTCTTCCATTACCCTTGCAGGAAAATATACATTATCCAGAGGGTCACTGATAATATTAAATTCCGCTTGGGGCAAAACCTGGTAATCATTTCCACAAAATAGAGGCCCAGTAAAAGTAGTAAGACTTCTTGTAGTGCCATCAATCTACTTAAAAACAGCTCTAAATGGAGGTTTGTTTTGATGATGTGAACATCAATAGTGTTCAAATTTCTTTTAAGGTTTTTTTTTTTTTCTCCGGAGCTAATACAAGCCATGACTCAAAACCAGTTTGTACTGTTATTTTCTACAAAAACTGGTCTTAGTTTGGTTTGGTTTGGTTTACGGCATATCCATCTTAATGGGTTATTTAATGCCAACAAGATTTTTATTGCTGGTAATATTTTTTAATGTATTGCTGGTCATTTTTTTTTTCAAAAATATATTGCTGGCAATATATTTTTTCAAAAATGTATTACTGATAATATTTTTTTCCAAAAATGCATTGCTAGTATTAAACCTATTTTTACACTTTCATAGTGTTTTAACCCTGGTTTGGAGATTAACTATTAGCCATTAGCTGTGACCCTAACAGGTGCTACCACCCAGGGACAGGGTTGATCTGGGAATACCAGCAATTAAGAGATGGCTCCACGCTCCTCAAAACTTTCTGATCAGAGCCCTGCAGTTGGATGTAGTTAATCGTCATACCCAGGACGCGGATGTAGTTTATCGTCATACCCAGGACGCGGATGTAGTTTATCTTCATACTCAGGACGCGGATGTAGTTTATCTTCATACTCAGGACGCGGATGTAGTTTATCGTCCTATCCAGTACGCGGATGTAGTTTATCGTCTTACCCAGGGCGCGGATGTAGTTTATCGTCATACCCAGGACGCGGATGTAGTTTATCGTCATACCCAGGACGCGGATGTAGTTTTTCGTCCTATCCAGGAAGCGGGTGTAGTTTATCGTCCTATCAAGGACGCTGATGTAGTTTATCGTCCTACTCTTTACTAGAAAAACACCAGTTGCACCATTGTAAGGGATAACTGTGTGGGTGAGATATCTATTTTCTGTGTCCACTTCTGGAGAATGTCAAATGTCACTCTGGTTCTTTAGTTTTCTTTCTTTCTTTCTTTCTTTCTTTCTTTCTTTCTTTCTTTCGCCATTTTCCTTTGTAACCCTTTTGTATTGGAAAGTGTCCTTAAGAAATCGGCAATTAATACCAATGCTGCTGATATAGTCGTAGTTCAGAAAATCCTTCTGGTGTGTGGTTACATTTAGTGTACTTTTTCCCTGTCTATTTTTGATATATCAATGATAATGACCTTTAAGTTAAGGCTTGGATGAAATAAGCCTATATCTTGTAGGTCTAATAAAAGGGCACTAACAAGCCATACCCCGAGGTTGAAAATATATCACCATTAATAAGTTTCAGGGTATATCTAGGGGTTTTAAAAGACTGTAAGTTGCCTCTCTCTAGCTAAAAACTATTGTCGGCTGTTTCTTGACTGGTGGACGTTGGCGGAAGAATATCTGATCTAGAGGAAACATTTTTAGAATCCTGTTATTGTTATCTAATCTTAGTACCTCTCTTTGTTTCAACTTCACGTAAAAACGTGCCGTGATATTCAGCCACCCACCCACGAGGGTGTCATGCGGCACAAGGCCTTTTTAATGTGGGCATTCCTTTTGCCATTAGGCTCGGCTTTTGAACCCGTATAAACGGGTTCAGGGCCACGTCCCGAAGGAGACTTCGCCCTTCGGCGTAGCCTCCTTCGGGTTCCTCTCCGTCCGGAGACAGAGAGTTGAACCGATCAGTCGCTCAGAAAGTATCTGGACTGCTGTAAAAACGTGCCGTTGAAACAAAGAGAGGTATAAATATATATTTGACAGTATTTTTGTCAATAGTTCCAAGTTGGAAACTGCCTTTTGGTCATCTTTGATCTCTCTGTGCTTTTAAATATTCCTTTTTTTCAACGGGAACCTGATATTTCTAAATGTGTATACGTTTAAAACAGAACTAGCATGCAGGATAAATAAAAAGGAAACTATGACAATATTATTTATAAAAAAAGGAAGATTATCAGAGATAAATTTATATTTTTCAATTGATTTAAATTTTTTAAAAACAAGACATGAACTAGTTCAAAATAAACAAAGAAAAAAGAAATAGCATTAATTTCTTGTAAGGTGGACAAGTTTAAACATTACCTTATTTTAATAAAATTTCAAAGGTAAATTTGAAATAAGAAAAATAAAAACAAAGAAACAGTATTACTTACCTGAATGTAAATTTTGTTTCTTCCATGGAAATAAACAAACAAAAAGTCTTCTAAATAAATAAACGTGTTCTAAATAAATAAACTGTCTGTCTGTCTGCCATTGTGTCTCAAACGTGTCTAACTCGGCCCACAGATATATTATACCTTTTTGGAATCAGGTTGATTCCATGATTAAAAAATTTGCCCTTCATCTGGAGTTTGAACGTCCAGCATTGGAAATTGTGTCTGGATGAGTTGGGGACAGTCGAAAATTCAAATTTTGAAATAATTGAAAAAAAAATTAGTGATTTTAAGTGTTTTTAATTTATATTGGGTTGAAAGTAATACAGAAACTTTGCGAATTTAAACATTTAAAATATCTTCAAAACTTTTTGAATTGAGGAAATCAATTTTATTTCTTCAAAATGCCAAGGAATCAGAGTTAAAGTGAGAGGTTTCGTGACGTGAAGTTTTGAAGTTCCGCAGAGTTTGGGATTTGAAGAATTGGAATTTCGGTCCGAATTGGAATTTCGGCCCAAATCGGACTTTTGGTCCAAATCAGATTTTTGGCCCAAATCGGATTTTTGGCCCAAATCGGACTTTTGGTCCAAATCAGATTTTTGGCCCAAATCGGACTTTTGGCCCAAATCGGACTTTTGGCCTAAATCGGACTTTTGGCCCAAATCGGACTTTTGGCCCAAATCGGACTTTTTGGCCCAAATCGGACTTTTGGCCCAAATCGGACTTTTGATCAGAATTGGACTTATAGCCCAAATCAAAGTTAAAGTGAGTTTTTAAAGTAACATGGAATGAATTGAAGAATTCAAAGTTATTTCTTCAAAATTATCATTGCTGCTTTGTAAGCTGGACCAGAGGTTCCTTTAGTTTTGGACTGGAGGCCCAATTAGCCATCTGCAGGAGTTAGCTTAAAGTGCGGCTTTTGAGCTAGTTTTAAATAAATACCAGTTATTTTGAAAATTCAAATTAATGTAAATTAAACAAAGGTTTACTTTCTTTTTTTTTTTTTTTTAAAATAATTAAGTCTGTTGTATAAAAATAGAAATTGCTAGTCTGATCAGATCCGTCAGCACCAGCTTCACTCGTAAGTCATTAGTCGAACCGTCGGGTGTGTATTTCATGTACCGTACATTGGGATCGTCTTTCTGGCCGAGATAATCGGGATCACCTCCTTGACAAAGCGAACATGGTGAGATTCGAACTAGGGTCTTGTAATAGTTCTAACTCCCCCGCGATAACATGTAATAGACTAGTTTACTTATAACTAAACTATGGTAAGACTCCCATATATTTAAGTATAGTTTAGGCAGGTACAAAGCTACAAAGGTAGTTACAAAGAACCGGGATAGCTGAATAGTAATATTAATATTATATAACCTTTCTCTGCTAGAATACACGGTTGGTAGGCAAGAGAAGCAAAATGAGGAAGAGGAAATATTATATAATATTTATTATATATAATACAATAAATATCATATCATATAATATTTGTTATATTATATATAATATAATAAAATAAATATTATATTATATAATTATAAAATGAAATATATTATATAATTATATTTATGAAACTATATTATATAATTATTATATAAAAGTATATCATATAATTATAATGCAATATAATAAATTATCATATAAAAAATGTAATTATTACATAACGTATTATATAATATAAAAAGAGATATAATTATTATATAATATAAAAATTATAAAATTATTGCGTAATATGATGAGATATAATTATTATACAATATGAAAATATGTTATATAATTATTAAATAATGTAAAATGATATTATGAAATTATTATATTATATAATTATAACATAATATTAACTTATCGATCCCCTTTTTATTTTGAGAATCCAGATATTTAACGTCCCTATTTGACTGTCCAGGTATATATCCATCCGTTTGACCCTCTATAATATAATATTAATTTATTTATTAATTTCTTAATTATAATTATTATATAAATATAATTTTATATTATATATTGTATGAAGTAATTTAAATAATATATATAATTTATATGTAATTATATATGTTATATAATATAAAATTATATTTCATAGTTATTATATAATATAATTTAATATTAATATTTTATCAATTTATTAATTACAATTATTTTATATAATATCATCTAATATTATGTAATTATAATATAATAAAATGCAATATACTATAAAATATATGTATATATATACACATATAATTATATAAAATTATATCATATAATTATAATTACAAAATTATAATATAAAAAATTATATAATTTTTTTATCAAAACCAGATGCACAGCAATTACAAACAAATTCGTTCGAAGAAATGTTATTAAAAATGCCCTATTCCAATCGAACATTCTAAAAATCTCAAATTATTTACTACAGAAGACATTAAAACACACACCCGTATCAATAACAACAACTCTTCAAAGAAATCCAAACTATAAAAGACCGACATTTTTTATCAGTTCAAATCCTCAATAAGAAACTGACGAAAACAAATTCATGAAAACTTGCGTCGGACTTTACCACGACCATTTATCAAAACCGCTGACCTTACACTCCTCGGACCATAGCTCTACAAGGACGTGTTTAAACTGATATGGCTCGCCGATTAAAGCGTTGGTTTGTGAATTTGTTTACATAATAGTTGTTAGTCTACGCGCAGGGCCGGGGAGAGTGTTATTGAACGAAGTGAAAACGGGCAAGCAATAACTATGCATAGATTTGTTTTTACGGCTTATCAACCCTTTGCGTGTTATTTAAATTCAGAAAATATTTTTATATTGTAAGAATTTTGTTTTCTTTTTTAGAGATATTAATGTTTTAGTGATACAAGTCTTACTAATAAACTCTCGTCGGGATAGTTTAGAATTTAGGACTCTTCATATACTTTCGCCATGTTTTTACTGATGCTGCACAAATGGCTCACGGATTGATGACACAAACGAACAAACGCTTTAAACTACGATGTTATTGTAAACAGTAGAGTACCTAGGCATGGAAGAGTGGCAGTCCGCCTCGGGCGACATTTTTATGGCGGCGGCACTTTGAGGACAACTGTATAAGTCTTCATCTGCCAGGACACAACTCACACTTGAAGAATCTTTTCGATTCGAGTAACTTAAACTATGGCGTAGGTATTTGAGCGAGTGTTATGTTGGACGAGCAATAAACATTATACTGTGATGTATTCAGGGCTGTTTTATGATTTGTTCACAATGTGAAACCTGGGAACGGACTCAGGCTGCGTTTTTTTAATGCCGTAGCGCCACTGTGAATGAGAGACATATCTTGGTTGTTATCATATAAACTTCAGTTATTTTCCTTGACAGAAGTTCGTTTGAGGGCGTATTGCTCTATTTTTCGTCTTTTTAACTTTATTAATAGTTAATATTATATATATATATATATATATATATATATATATATATGTGTGTGTGTGTGTGTGTGTACACATACATACATATATATATATATATATATATATATAATATATATATATATATATATATATATATAATAAAGAGCTAGAACCTATCTACCTAAGTTTCACCTACCGGATTAGCAGGGTAATTCAGAATTATTCTGATGATCCCGATAAATAGGTTCTGGATCCTTAGGTATTTTAATTTTGTTCTACTTAGTGCATTGAGCACTTTTACGTTCAACTTAGGGACTCTGTCGGTGTTTTTTTTTTTTCTTTTGAGTAGGCATTCCCGCACTGTGTGATTTTTTTTCAAGCACTACGGATATTTTCAGTCAATTTTTGCTTGAACTTTTTCCCCAAATATCAGTTTGTTTAATATTTTTCTTTTATTTACAGATTGCATTATCGGTTTTTTCCACACCACCAGAGTTATAGTTTAAAATAAAAAAATAAATT